TAAATTCGCATATAGTAGTGTAGCTTTATTTGCATACGCAAATGAATAAATATGTATGGAAAAAATTTATTTAATAATTTTATTTAATGTAATTTATATGCTATTATAATTTCGAGTGTTTTTACAATTTTTATGTGAATGGGATTTTTCTAATTCTTCAGTACGCATCAAATTGATCAGCTGATCAAATGTAGATGGCGTTTCAAATGACAGTGAGGTTGTGAATAGTGTTTAAAGTGGTTGGTTGTTCATGTGAGGGGAAGGATTTTATAATTATTTAATAGTAGGTGCATTTAAAATGACTGCGGTTGTACAAGAAGGCAACGAGTTAAAGAGGTTACTTAGTAACCCTGCAAAAAATGCTGGTGAGGATTGCTCGATGGCTCCGCCGCAATCGGTAAGTTAACAAATATGTTTGTACAATGTACATTTTTTATTGAATTCTTCGTTTTATTCTTGTATTTATATTTCAGACTAATGTTCCGCGGCCGAGCACATCGCAAAATCTTAATCCACAGTCAATGATCAGTCCAATGACCCCCATTCATAGTACAAAAGAAGTTATAGAACCATGTTTACAGTAAGTGACAAAACTATTGAAGTGGCATGTTTTTTTATTTTCATAAAAGTTAATGATAATTTTTAGTAAAATTGAATAGGTAAACGTACCGTTTTACAATAAAAAATTATTATTAGTACATATTATTATTGACATTTTTACATTTCTTTTCAGAAATGTAGTTTCTACAGTTAATTTAGGCACAGAATTAACACTTATGTATATTAATACTAGAACAAGAAACTCAGAATATAACCCAGCAAGATTTACAGGTCTAATTATGAGAATTAGAAATCCCAGAGCAACTGCATTGATTTTTCACTCAGGGAAGTTAGTTTGCACTGGAGCAAGATGCGAAGAAGATTCTTATTTAGCCACAAGGAAATTTGCAAGGATCATTCAGAAACTAGGATTTCCAGTAATAAGTATTAAATATTATAAAAAATTGATAAACTTTTGATGAAAAAATTTCTCTACATTAATATCCCCTTTGATTGTGTTGTTACAGGTTAAATTTTTTAATTTTAAGATACAAAATATAGTTGCCACTTGTGATTTAAAATTTCCAATTAAATTGGAAAACTTAAATCATATACACGGACAATTTTCTAGTTATGAACCTGAGCTTTATCCAGGTCTCATATATAGAATGGTGCAACCAAGAGTTGTATTGCTTATATTTGTAAATGGAAAAATTGTTTTAACAGGTGGGATTGAATTGAAGGATTTTCTTGCTTTTAACTTATTATTTTATTAAGATGCATTTAAATACATATAACAGTATTTTAGGAGCAAAGAATCGAGGGGAACTGCAGGATGCCCTGAATAATATATATCCAATATTGAAAAGCTTCAGGAAGCAATAACAGTATTTTCTATATTTTAAGTTTCTCAACGATAATATACAATTTATTTGAAGACAATTAAAGCTCAGCATATGTTAGGTGCTCTATTTAATATTTTAAATTATGTCGTTGATGTAATTTATTCGCGGAGCGAATGGTATTTATTAATTATCGTCCGGCCGGATACAATGACATTAGAAATTAATTTTTGTATAATAATAATGATTGAACAAATTGTAGTAAATCTTGTGTAGCATAATAATTTCATACGAATTTTATAAAAAAATTATATCTATATATATAT